TCATAGGAAACACATCACTTCATTAACACAATAATAAGGTAGTTCTCACACCATTGACACTTTCAAACATGGCTTAAAACTTATCTATTTTTTAAATTAGACACATATTCACACTTAACAAACATCAAGGGACATAACAGAAAACTCAAACATCAAAACAGAAAACATTCATATTTTGTCTGTTTTTCATAGGGTTTCCCGTAAGAACCATAGAGCACTCTAATCCCTATCAAAACATATTCAAATTCAAAATTAAATATACATTTATGCTCAGTAATCATCAAGGAATACAACAGAAAACTCAGAAGTCAAAATAGAAAACATTCAAAATTTACCTGTTTCTCATAGGGTTTCCTGTAGGAACCCATAAAGCATTCTAATTCATATCAAAACATATTCATTCTTCAAATTAAACACATATTCACACTTAGAATCATACAAAGAATGCAACAGAACAATCAGAAAGCGAAACAGAAAACTTTTATAAAGTATTTGTTCCTATCATGTAAGGGATTGGGGGCCAATCCTGTTACCTAACCGTATTCCCACATCCCCGAGTGAGGTTTCTCACTACCCCTTACCTGGATGTGTGGTTCCCCAGTGATCTCCTCCTCCTAGTTCTCTTGAGTCTTCAGAGCGCGTAGAAAAGAAATGAGAGACTAGTCAGGAGAAATAAGAAGCATGAAAAGTAACTCTTGACAACTTCTTTCTTAAAATAATAAAACTAAATAATAATAATAATATTTAACAAAAGACCACTACGTCTCCCCTTCCCTTCTCATAAAATAATAAAAATAATAAAAATACACTTTCTCTTTTTAATACAAAATAACATATGCTTAACTCTAAATAAAATACATTTTTTATAAAAAAATATATTTATTTAAATAACCAAAATACTAGTTAAAAATCATGCTTTATAATAAAATAGTCCTTATATAAGTAGTTAAATAATATCAAAATTCTTTAATAAATACATTTAAAATATTAAAATAATTTCTAAAATATTATTATTATAAATTATGAAATATGGGGTGTTTCATATTGAGCTATTTCAGGTGTGTTGCTTAGGCAGCATGTCAGAGATGTATTAAGCTATTCTATGTATACCTTGGGTCACTAGTGATGTATTTATGAATGAACATGTCCCAGGTATATTGTTGTAGCAGCATATTACATGCATTTATTTATGAGTCGAGTCCATGACATCATTGCATGATAAGTGAATGTGCATGTTGCTCTATATGTATTTTTATTGTGTTGCAGGTGATCATCAGCATGAGAATGTTGGTGATGAGGTTTGAGTCTTATTGTGGGTGTGCTCTGATAGGACATGTGAAATTGGGACTTAGTTAGGATTAACATAGGAGTTTCATTAATGTTATTGTGTTTTGGAAAGATTAATGTTTTATTTTGTCATTATTTTCGCATTGGACTACGATTTGTGAAACATGAACGTGAACTCTCAATCTATGTGTTTTGGAACCTTGTTTGCAATAGTTCATTGTGGTTAGAAAGAAAATCTAAAAGTTTAATAAAATTTCCCTTATTACTTGATGACATTGACTCATCATTACCACAAAAAACTAATCCTTGGCGTAATAAGAATTGAATACAATCAACTATTGCAGTCAAATAAATTATATATTCCTTTTTAGTTTGATCAGGCTACTTACACATTGCAACTTCAATATGTTGTTTTTATTTCATCAAAGATTGACAATTCCTCCATGCTTGATTATGAAAACTATTTGGACCTCTAACATGAACTTGAAACCTCTCACTTTTTTTTCTAATTTGTAAAACCTTCTGTTATGAATACATCACCACTACCTTTATGTTCCCTGACATGTGATCTCGTAAGATAACAATAATATGTTGCATCCTCCTTTTGACTATATTCTAACCAAATTTCATATTTTAAATACCAATCTGGATTAAATTTACGAATGATATCTCCAAATCAACTTTGTGAAAAATTTATTTCTTTTGGTTGACAATGACCATTTTGTAAATAATATCTTCTAATTTCATCTCTATCACTTGGATAATAATTTGAAATTTTTGGCCTTAGACAAGGATCATCAGAAAGCTTTTCCAAATCATATTATAAAAATATTTTTTTTGGTTAATTGACCCAATTTACTTATTTTTCAACATGTATTTGAGGAGAAGATATTGCTCTAAAGATTATTTTCTTCTAAAATATATTTCCATCACTACAACTAAAATCAATATAATTATAATTAATGTAATGTTCATAACATACAATGTTTCTTTTAAACATAAAAATAGAATGAGTAAATAAAAATTAAAATACTGAATTTCTCATTGAAAATAAAAAAATAATTCAAATAAAGTAATATGAAAACAACACTAACATCAAAGATCACTTTAAATACATAGTTTAGCTATTAAAACATAAAGGAGTAGAGATGGAAGAACTTTTTTTCTCTAAATTCACTCTCCTGCACTTTAAAATATATTAGAGATAAAGTGAAACCTCAAAATATGAATAAATTAAAAAAAATAAAAATAAAATAAAATAAAATAAGATATAAAATATCAACTAAAAAAAAGGTTAGGAACAACTTACATATTTTCTTGATTTACTTAAAATACACACATTATTAATTAATAATATTTTAATCTTAATTTGCAATTTAAATGCATAACCATTTTTTAAACATATAATTTGCTATTAACTTTTATAATATATTAAATATTATTTTTTAAATCTTCCTTTTCATACGGAGATAACACTGCAACGGTTCAATTTTAATTTTAATTTTGTAACTTCAATTTTTTCAGTTTCTTTTTTATTTTTAGATTTTCAATAAAGATAATATAATATTATATATATTATAAAAAAAATTAAAAAAATAAGTTAGTAGGTGCAACTGTCCCACAATCCTCAACTTATATAGGGACAAAGAGAGACATAAATGTTACGGGAGTCAAATATAAAAATTAAAGTACATGTTCGCAACACTTGTCATATTTTCTATGAAACACTCATGTTTCATATATATCTAAATATCAATAGAAAATATATTTAAAATATATACATAGTGAAATTTCTTTTTTTAAGAGCCGAAACTATAAATATTAATCACCAATTTCACGTTATAAGAAAATTAATGAATTTATAATAAATTTTATATTAACATTAATCACAAATTTTTCGAAAATATCTTATTAGTTATGTTCTAAAAATCTAGTAAATTAAAATAAATTAAGTTACTTACCACGAAATAATAATAACCAAAAATATTAAAGAATGTGCTTTTAGAATGTCGAAAAGTAGAAGAACAAGAACAAGATCTTGTATCTTGACAATACATACTAGCTAATTTTATTTTGACATATCTCTGGTAGTCCAATATTTAAATTATTTTTATAATATTTATGTAGCCGGAAATATATCGAATCCATTCATAGATTTAAAAAAAATAAAAATTAAAACATCTTTGATGAAGAGTGCGTATATCTTACTAATAAATAACGATACTTATTAGTAATTTTTATTGTAATTAATGATATAACAGCAATAAATTATTTAAAATAAGCAACATTACTTGAAAATTAAAGTTAATATTTTTTTTGTTTTGATTTTCTTAACAAACAATAGAAAACATAAAATATTTTTAAAAATAAAAAACACAGTCAACCATGAATTAAAAAATTAATCACTCATCATTATTATGGATTTTTAATTGTTATTTTTTTTTATATTTAATTTTTTTGTACACAATAAATTAATTTTATAAATCTTATTATTAATTTTTTACATATTAAAATATTATTTATTTTATTTAATTATATTAATTACATTAATTTTTTAAGTTATCAAAAATGAAGTGTAAATAAAAAATAAATAAAAATACGAGATATATATAAGATCTCATCATTGGAACAATCAAAATATAGTGCCACTTGTTTAAGAATGATTTAATATAATGGATTTCATTTATTAATAGATCAAGAATCATCATTGAAAATACTTTTAAAAAGAGAAGATATTTGATAATTTATTTCAAACTTAAAAATTTTCGATCTCTTAGATAGTGTTTGCTTACCTCCATTATTTAACATTTTTTAATAAATAATTTTAATTCTCAAATTATTTAATTAAACTACTGTCAAAGAAAATATAATTAAGTGTTGTAAATGTACTTGTAACCTTAAATAATATAAGCAATTCTAACAAGATGGTAATCAGAATGGTATCAAGTTCAATCTCTTTAAACAAAACATGAGTTTCGATTCTTGTATATAAAAAAAAAAAATGTAATTAAATGTGAAAAAATACTAAAAATAGTCAAGCCAAATTTTTCGATGATACTTTATATTTGTAAGATAGTTACTCAAAGAATAATATTAAGGATAGAAAAAATATTATTAAAAAACTAGATATATTCAAGCATTTCATCTAAAAAAAGAGAAAAGAATACAATTATCTTCCCAATAAAAGCCATAAAAGTAGAATGAAATAATTTTGATCAAAAACTAAGAAAAAAAAACACTTAAATATGATCATTTAATACTAAAATAATGAGGCCCCATCTTATAATATAAGTCCTTCCTAGGCTGTATATTGTCTTTGTTGCAGTGAATAAGGGGTAAAGGAATCTGAGACGAAAGTGGCTGTGAGTGTGGGGTAGTTGGCCTTAACTTCTAAATCCACCTTGGTCAATTACGTTCTCTACTTTGAATTGTTGAAGTTTTAAGTAACACGCATGTTAAATTAAATGTTTTATTATGCAAATAACACTAGCAATACTCTGTTTAATTTTTTCACTAACATAATAATATCATATTAAAAAGGAAAATACAAAACTATATATGCTTTTATTATATAAATAACGATGAATTTTTTTAATCTAAATTCAAACTCATATTTAAGCCATAATAAAAAAAAAAAATTGTAAACAAATATTTGTGACTGAGGAGCACGTACCGTGTTAAGTACTTGTACTTGGAATCGGAAGTTTATCACCTATACTCGAACATGATTACTCTACACATGGTTTAGGAAAAAATATATGTTTTGTCAGAATCTATCAATCTAAGTTACCCGTTATTAATTCTGCAACTAAAATTTTTTATACTTTGAGACCAAAATGAAACATGAGCTGTTTCTCTCTCTCTCTCTCTCTCTCTCATAATTGACACCAGCAAAGACTTGGTTTCAGAAAAGTGAATCTCTTCTTCATGTATGGTTGATCCGTGGCTATAGTTCTGTTTCATTTTATCATTTTGTTCCCCCCATCTTTCCATAAACACACTTTTCTCCTTTGTTCTTGAAAAAATGAAGAAATGTACAAAGGAAATACGATTTGGTCCTTAGTTGTTATTTGTTGAACATATCTCATATACCCCTTTATCATTTTCAGACTTATCTCTTTTCAATTTGATGATTGACAGCTATATGGAATTCTATTTTACTGTGTTTAGCAAAGAAACATGCCAGGGTTGACTTTTCATGAAGAAAAAAAAATATAATGCTTGACTTTTGATTTTTCGTGTTGGCTAGAATGACTAGTATTCAATATTACTTTATTTGTTCAATGTTCTTCAATATTCTTTGATAGGACTTTGTATAGAAATAATACATGTATAATAGCAGAAGTTCCCCCTCTAACCAAAGTTCTGTTTTCTAAGGGTCCTTTTGAGATGGTTGCGATGAGAGAATGAATTTTCTTGCTGTTGAGAGATTTTGGATGATTTCAAGTTGATTCCCAATTATCTATTTTACATTTACAGCACTAGGTTTGATCAATTGGAGCAGCAGGGTTATTCTGATGAGTTGTTGCTTTCAAATTTTCAGAAGGAAAGGATCTTCCTCAGCCACACTATTGACCGGAATTGATATAGGTATGCTTTAATAATCAATATGATATACTTAAAAGTAAAGGTAGTTATTCATTTTTGGAAGTCTTGGTCCTTGTTGGTATTTCCATAAATAACAAAACTTAATCTAATAATCCTATTTTAGAGACACCCATATGATTTTTTCTTATTAATTGAAATCTTTCTTTTTGAGGAAAGGTTTGGTTAGGTGAATTTGTTACCACAGTCTAGGATAGCACGACTATGTCTTTGTTATGCTATGTTTTTATTAGCATCTGATATACAAAACTTTGCTATCATCAAAATGTTGTCTAAACCAAGTTACTTTCTATGTGATGCAACAGATGTTTCAGAAATTCAGAATGTAAACATTTACACTTACAAGGATTTGCAAATTGCCACTGAAGGCTTTAGTCCTGCAAACAAGATAGGGCAGGGAGGTTTTGGAGCAGTCTATAAGGTGATTGCAGCAGTTTGGTATCGTCTAGAATTCGTGAAGAATTCTTAGATCTATTGTTAAGACTTAAGAGCTTCTTTATCAAAAAATAGAACTCTTTATTTTCAGTAGAGAAACTTTCAAAAATTCCTCCAAGTTTGTATCTAAATAGATTCTAAATCAATTAACGAAGATATAGTTGTGTTTGACTGATAAATTCCTCCATTGCACAGGGAAAGCTGAAAAACGGTTCTCTGGTAGCTATAAAGGTTTTATCAGCTGAATCAAAACAAGGGGTCCGGGAGTTCTTGACAGAAATCAAGGTGATCTCTAGTATAGAGCATGAGAATCTAGTGAAGTTGGAGGGATGCTGTGTGGAGAACAACCATAGAATTTTGGTATATGGCTATCTTGAGAATAACAGCCTAGCACAAACACTTATTGGTAAGTGAATTGTTGTCATGTGAGTATGATTTGTCAAAAATATAATCTTAATAATGAATTAAATCCTTGTGAGTTTATAGGTGCACGCCATAGTAGCATCCAATTCAGTTGGCATGTAAGGAGGAACATTTGCATAGGTGTTGCCCGGGGGCTTGCATTCCTTCATGAGGAGGTTAGGCCACACATTATCCATAGAGACATAAAAGCAAGCAATGTACTACTTGACAAAGATCTCCAACCCAAAATTTCAGATTTTGGCCTTGCAAAGCTTATTCCACCAAACCTGACCCATATCAGTACCCGTGTTGCTGGAACAGCGTAAGTTCACCATTATGCCTTCAATCGCTGCAGAGTTTTCAATTAGTTCATATCAGTAAATTTATGATTTTGGAATTTTCAAGTTTATTAGCATTTTTGTCCCATTTTGTTCCTACCATTCTACTTGTTTGGTTTTGCAGTGGTTATCTGGCACCTGAATATGCCATCCGAAATCAAGTGACTAGAAAATCAGATGTCTATAGTTTTGGAGTTCTACTATTAGAAATTGTTAGTGGGAGGCCTAACACAAACAGACGTCTACCTGTTGAAGAACAGTATCTTCTCACAAGGGTAAGCAGTACGGACCTTTTTCTTTGAAAAAGTAAAAGCAATTAGATGCAGTTGAGGATTTAACTTGTATGTGGTGTGAATGAAATATCAAATATATCATGAGATTGACCTGTATAGACACAATTTTATTCTTGGTTCTCTTTCTATAGCACTTCATTTTCTTCCCTCTATTAGTATAAGATGTGGTGTAGCAAGTAGCAACCACATCCATTTCCCATTTTGATTTTCTGTAAATGAACCTGTTGAATTCGGGTATCAGTCTTTTAAAAGTTTGTCATTAAATATAAATCAAAATGGCAGAGCCATATTAGACCTTGTGTTCATCCCAATCTGAATTTCATTGCCTCTTTTCTCAGGTAGTCCTTTTAGCTCACATAATAGCAATTTGTAACATTTCATACACAATAGGAGAGTGGGTTAAAATGTTGAGCTTAAAGTTGCAACTCAGAAGACATTTATGGGTGAACCCTCTATGTTTTGGCCTAGAGCTGCTATACTCTCCGGAAAACAAGTTATATTTGTTCAAGTGACATGGTTGATTCTGTCTTTACATATTTTTAGTTGTGTTAACCCTTCACTGTTATTAAAAATCAAGCATAAATTAGTATGACTGTCTGCTAAGAAATTTATTACTATGCTTGCTATAAGACATTTTCAAAAAGGTGCAATGTAGCTCTTTTCAATGTAAAGTTTATAGAACCTAAGACATACTTAACCTGGGAACAATTTGTGTCAAGGAGTGAAATCATATTCCCTCAAACTTTAGAATCTTTATATGGTTTCAAGAGCTTGCAGAAAACTGCATATAGATCCTTTCTCATGTATATATCTTTAATTTGAATTCAAAATGAATGTGAAGTTACTGGTGGGAATAAGATACTAAGAACCTATTTGGATAAGTTTCTATAGAAACACTTCTAGGAGAGAAAAATATGAAGAAAAATCAAAATAAACTAAAATTACCTTAAACATTAAAATAAGATTTTGGAGAAACCAATAAGAGAGAACCTTTACAAATTAGCTTATGCATAAGTTAATTTTAACTTATGGAGAAACTTGTTTCATTTTTTCTGCCTAGTTTATTCTTCTAGAAGTTCTTTTGAAGAAGTTTACCCAAACAGACTCCTGATGATCTTCATTACCATTAAGTAGATGGGAAACTTAACTTTTGAGAAAGGAGTGACAAATTAATGTGTCTTGCAGGCTTGGGATTTGTATGAGAGTGGGGAGGCAGAAACATTGGTGGATGCTTTTCTGGATGGAGACTTCAACATTGAGGAGGCAGTGAGATTTTGTAAGGTTGGTCTCCTTTGCACACAGGATTCTCCTCAGCTGCGGCCCTCTATGTCCGCTGTGCTTGACATGCTTTTAGGCGAAAAAGATGTGAATAAGGAAAATGTGACAAAACCAGGCATGATATTTGAGTTTGTGGAAGCCAAAAGTGTGGGGAAACAAAAAAGCAAGGCTGAAGTGGATGGTACAACTTTGTTGGCTGAAGGGAAGCAAGAAGAGTCATCTTCATCAGGAACTGTTAGCTCTTTTGCTACCATGACCTTCACAGCAATTTATGATCGAAGCAACTAGTTTGATATTGTCACTAGGTAGCATTGTGTTCAGTCCTTAAATGATTTTTTTCCTCTCCCCCCCTCTATCCAATGTTTCCAATCTTTGCTGCCTTTTTAGGCTACAAATCAGAGTGTAAATTTTTGTTTAATATCTTCTTCTCATAATGTATTAGTCAATGGTGATGAATTCATATTTTGAATTCTTCGATCGTACAGATATGGACAAACTTTTTGAGAAAAGAGTCTCATCTGTATATCTAAGCAATATAGCACAGTACTTTGAATCAAGGGATTTTATTTTTGGGTTGGTTTTTTGTGGCTCTTTGTTGGTCTTTGTTTAAGAGTAATGCTTGCTCATACAGTCATACTTCACACATCCCTGAAGTATGCAAATTGTAGTCCTCTCAAGAATCTTCTCAAATGTAGAGTTGCATTTTTTTTTATTTTTTTTTTATGCTACTTAATGTTTTGCTAAATTGTCTTGTTATGCTCAGACTTTTGAGTTTAATATTTGATTCTGACTTGATTACTGTTTTCTATTGTCAACATGTGTATAATGCAAATGCTTTATTCCGGTTATAGTGTGTTTGGAAATACAATTATGAACCAAAAATCATGTCAAAGAACATCACTATGTAAATTGTAATTCTACTTAATTGACCTTGTTGGCTGTCAATATTATAAAATATAGTGCCCATTACAAATCCAGCTTTGCAAGGCTTGGTTCTGAATGTTACAGAGAAATATTTGTCCTGGGATGAAAATCTTCTATGAACAGAATTTGGGTATGAAAGAGCCTTTTTCTTTGATAATCTTAAAGCAATGCATCCACGGAAAATCTTGGTCCTCTTTGCTTTTAAGAAGAAATTGGTTGTTCATTGATTCAGGAGTTTGAATAACCTAACTTCCATGACATCATTAACACAATTATAGCATACATAATACTATATGATTTACATTTATCGGTCTATAATATATAATTGATGAGATTATTTTTATAAGGTTATTTTAGTCATAACTCCATAATAATGAGATATTGTTCATTTTGAACCTAAATTTTTTGTGTCATCACTAAAAAAGTCTTTTAATCATTGAAATATATATATATATATATATAT